CCAGCAGGTGGATATGTTCACAGCCAGCCTATCTGAGCCTCTGAGAGTTGATGTGGAGATGCAGAGCCCACCCAACTTGGTCACAACAATGAATCTGGCCCGAGCCTTCAAGCGCAAGCTGCAGATCAGCCGAGGGCCGTCTAGCATGGGGCGTCCCGCAACGACTTGGGCGAACCCAAGGTCTACAGCAGGAGGGCCTTCGATAGCTGCCAACAGGTAACAACGCCCTTTCACCAGAAACACTACCCGATCTGCAACTAGCATGGGTAGCAGCACGACAACACCTCCCATTAGGCGCTTATCCAGGGCCAAGATGGCGGAACGCCGAGCCAAGGGCCAATGCTTCAACTGTGACGAGTTGTACTCAGCCGGCCACCGTTGCAAGCGGTTATTTTGCCTTCTGGTAGACAAGCTGGAGGAAGAAGAAGAGGAATAGGCGGCACTAGAACCCGAGATCTCCCTCCATGCCATCACTGGAGTCCAAAACTCCCAAACCATGCAGCTGCAGGCCCAGGTGGCAGGACAACAGGTGCGGATTCTGGTTGACTCAGGGAGCACCCACAACTTCATCAGCAAGCAAGCTGCGCTCCAACTGAAGCTACCAATGGAAGACAGACCACGGCTCCAGGTGGCTGTAGCAAATGGGGAGAGAGTTCACAATCCCGGGATCTGCCGAAGCGTCCAAATCGGTGGATTCTGAACCATTCCTTGCAGATCTATTTGTACTGACCCTAGACGAGTTCGACATAGTGTTGGGAATTAAGTGACTCATCACCCTCGGCCCCATCCTATGGGATTTCAGTGCCTTGACCATGACGTTTGACTTACATGGGAAACGGGTCACCTGGAAAGGGACCAAGATGAGAGCAAGAAAACCACAGGTGCATACTCTCCATGGCGACGCCTTGCACACCGCAGAGATGGATAAGCTTCTTGTCGATTTTTCAAACATATTCTCAGAGCCTAAGGGCCTTCCACCTGGCCAGTCGTGTGACCATCGGATTCCCTTAATACCAGGGGCAGGACCTGTTGTCGTGAGGCCGTAC